TGAACTGCATTTGGTTTGTATTAGGGTTGGGGTCTGGCTGGTTTGCGTTTAGGGTTGACACTTGAGGACATTCCGTCTAGGTTCAGCCGTTCAAGTCAGAGATATCAGGGAGAGTCCAGCATTCAAGGCCGACGTGGTCAATGCCACCCTCACAGCCTACAACGAGGCAGCGTGCCTGGGCAGAAGAAGGACGGGTCACCCGCGCGACACCTGGATTCTGATTCTATCCCTGGAGCCCTCCCTGCACAGTCACTTGCAAACATTAAAGGTCCAGCTTTCAGATCTTGTGGTTCAGGGTTGGGCAGACAACATTCGGCAGCAATGCTGAGCTTATCACGGATGGGCTCTGTGAATCTTCTCGGAAGCAGTGCTCTCTGCCAAGCCTGAACCTTCGCTATACTGTATTAAAGTGCCCCAAAGCTATGTTCCAAGCAGGGGGCCCCTATAGTAAACTTGGTTGTTGTCAAGGGCATTGCTCAGGAAGTTCATCTGAGTTCCTATAACTTATGCTTTTTCAGTACGTGTTTGACACTTTTCTTTTTGTATGTGTTGGTTCTAGGGTGTTGGATTGAAAAGACACAGTGTAAGCCCCAAAACCCTAAACCTCACACCCCTAACTCCAAAACTCCAAACCGGAAACATCGACTCTTAAACACCAAACCATTCCGGCGGTAAATTTCCAACCTTACAAGCCAAAATCTTTAATATGCACAAGCTCTAGCAAACAGCACCCTAAAACCTCATCGTTCAGGCCTCTACCCGACTCCACCCCTAAACCCTAAAACCCTAATGCCCCAAACTCTAAACCCTGAAACCCTGAAACCCTCAACCCTAAACCCCTAAACCCTAAACCCTAAACCCTACAGCCCTAAAACCCTAAAACCCTACAACCCTAAAACCCCAAACCCTAAACCCTGAAACCCTTAACCCTGCATTAAGTGCCAAGGAAGAAAGGCAAGGACGAGTTCGGGCGGACGGTGTTCCCGGCTGGGCACTTCCCGATCGAGGCGGATGAGAGCTTCTACGTCGGTGAGGCGCAGTCTGTTCTGGGATTTCGGGGTGACGGTTTAGGGTTCAAGGTCTTGGGGTTTAGGGTGCCTTAGGGTTTAGGGCTCGACCCCCGAACCCTAACCCGCTCGCCGCCGCAAAGATTGAAATCTCCAACAGCTCAGCCGCTGTGATCTTCCAAAGAAGCCTGGACGCCCAACATGCCCTGAGCACCTAGACATAAGGATCCTTCCATTCGCGTATCAAAGCCGCCTTGTAAGGGTATTCCTGAAGCAATTTGTGAGATCCTCAGACAGGTCGTCCCCGTCATTCATTACACCATGGGCGGCATCGCGATCAACCCCGAAGGCACCGTGGTGGAGAGGGAAATATGAGGCCATCACTAAATCCTGCAAGCCCGAAACCCTTCTATAACCCTAAACCCTAAATCCTAGACCCTAAGCCCTAAACCTCAAACCCTAAACTCGAGCTGGAAACAGGTCATTGCACTTAACAAAAACCCTAAACCCCAAATCCTAAACCCCTAAATCCTGAACCCTAAATCCTAACTCCAAACTCTAATCCCTATACAACCGAAGTCCTCTCTGGACCCGAAACCCTGTCATCCTCAAGCGCTATTCGGGAGTTTCCGAAAATTAGGGGTACCTTTAAAGCGATCCTATAAAGGTTTCTTAAAGGGATCTATAAGGGTTCCATAGAGGGTTTAGGGTTTGAAGTTTCCGACAATTAGGGGTACCTTTAAAGGGATCCTTTAAGGGTTCCTTAAAGGGATCTATAAGGATTCCATAAAGGGCTTAGGGTTTGGAGTTTCCCAAAATTAGGGGGGACCTTATTTCGGGGTCCTTATAGTAAGGATCCTACTATTTAGGGTGCTATATTAGGTAGGGTCCCTTATTTTCGGAAACTCCCCTGTGGACTTAAAAAATCCATCAATACCACCAGCCCTACAGACTCAAAGCTCTCCTACAGCACTCCGATAGCCAACGAGACTAATCTGCAAGAGCCTAAACCCTGAACCCTACAACCGCAAGCCCTAAACCGATACCCGATAACCCTGCACGAAAAACCCTAAACACTAAACCTTAATTAAGTTAAGGCCCGCCCCCCCCCCCCCCCCCCCCCCACCCCTGAATCTCAGCCATGCGAGGTCAGGTGCTGGACCAGAAGGGTGATCCGATCCCCAAGCTCTACGCCATCGGCGAGGCTGGGCTTGGGGTTTAGGGTGTAGGGTTTAGGGTTTAACCTGTGGGGTCTAGGGTGTAGGGTTCAGGGTTCACAAAGTTCAGGAGTTTAGGGTGTAGGGCTTACAGGAGTTTAGGGTTTGGGGTTTAGGAGTTTAGGATTTAGGGTAAAGTTTAGGAGATTAGAGTGCAGGGTTGGAAGCGCTTAACAGGTTTAGGGCTTCGGGTGGTTTAGGGTTTCTTGCCGGGTTTATGGAGTTTGGGAGTTTCGGGGCTGGTGGCTGCCGCTGGGCTTCTTATGTGCGGATTTCATGAGGGCCTCGACGGATGCTGGCCTTGAGGAACTCACGAGGGTCTATGCCCTAAGCCCTTCTGCAAAAGCAAATCCCTGATCGTCTCCGAGCAAGACAATGACGGGGTTCTTTTCAAGGACCGTGACTCAAGCATTCCGGACGAAGGCACAGTTATGTATCGACCTTTTAGGTTCGGGACGCACCAGCAGTTGTGCCCAATCCCAGTTCAGCTGTTTCAGCCCGTAGATCAACCCCTCCCCATACGCAGCTACATACCAGAACAGCCTAAAGCAGTAGTCGATCGACTACTGATGGTTGTTATGAACGTCCTAAGGAACCTTGAGGATTACTCGGGCCCCTATATAGGCCACCTCTGATGGATCAGGCCAGTGGCGGGGTGCACGGTGACAACCGCTTAGCCGGCAATTCGCTGCTTGAGTGTGCCCAGGCTTCCAATCTTTGAGTGCATGCGAAGTTGTTTTTGGAAGACCTCCGTGACCTCTAGTACCTTAGGCTGTGCGAGTTCTGGTATATGCGTTCCTGTCGAGACTGCAGGGTTGGGTCCCCCAGTAAGTCGGGCTTTTATGAATTTGGTCTTTGCCACGCAGTTGAGATTTTGACGGTCCAGACTAGTTCACAGATCGTTTGTAGGGTCCATATTGGAGTTTCCGAAAATAGGGGACCCTAATATAGTACCTGAAATAGTAGTCCTTACTTTACGGACCCCAAAATACGGTACCCCTAATTTTCGGAAACTCCCATATTGGGGTCCGGTACTGTCTGAAACTCCAACACCCAGCAATGTGGAAGACGGAGACGAACTGTAACAGTGAGAGCCATGTTGACGAGCCCCCCCTCCCTGTGCTCTCTTCGTTGCAAACGACCCTAAACAATGAACCCTTAACACTGAAACCCTAAAGCCCTTAACCCCTAAACCCTATACACCCTGAACCCTCAACCCTAAATTCTAAACCCTATAAACCCTTATCTTCAAGGTTTTTCCACACCGAAAGAGCCCGAGGCACGGTGTTTGGACGGCATGTGGGCCAGTCGCTGCCCATCCGTCCGCGTTGCTTCCCAGCGTTTAGCAGAGGGGCCTGCGTTGTTAGGGGTATTATTCCTTCCGGTGCTCTTTTGCATTAGGGGCATAGACCTCCCCCCAAAAAAAGAGTCGTAGTTGGGCAGGACAGTGAGGTGATTGGGCTTGGCAGCTTGGTGTCGGGTCTCTGATTCAGAACATGAGGGCTGAGCCTTGATGCTTCAAGGCTTATGTGTCCCTGGCTTCCGGTTCAGGGTTTAAGGTCTGTGCATTGAGGGTTTAGGGTTTCGGGTTTCTGCAGGCTTTCGAGAACACAGGAGGGTCGGGCAAGGGCTATAAAAAATACGGGGCCGCCGGCAGCGATGGTGAGCCTGTGAATTCTGCAGGGCTCGATTCCAGACCCAAGACCAAGTCTGCGCCCTACCGAAAGAAACGTCATGTTCGATCGGCACTGGTGTGGCTTCTCTCCATGCTCGGGTTCGTGATCCAGATCAGATCTCCAGGGAGCTTGTCCTTCAGCTGATAGTCCTGAACCCGAAAACCTGACCCCCGAATCTCAAACGAAAACCTCTAGCCCTAAATCTTAAATACGCCCATCACTAACCCCCAACCCCTAAACCCCAAACCCGAGAACCCTGGAAAAACCCTAGACCTTCCAGTTTTTGGGTTCGTAAAGAACCCTAAAAGAATTAAAAAAGAACCCTGAACCTACCTGTTTATAGGGTCCTTGAAGAACCCTTAAAGAATTCTCGTCCCGATGCCCAGAGCCTCAGAACACGAGGCAGCGATGTGCCGCGCGACCAGCCTGCACCTCCACCCGCCCCCGAAACGACGTCAGAAGAGCTGCGGCAGATCTCTGCGGAGGCGCCTGGGTTTACTAAAGGGCCTCAATAAATACCGATGTTATTTTGGGGGTTCATTGTTATAGTGACAGTATAGCGGCCCCAAAACCCTATTCTAATCAGTAAGGCTCCTATATCATAGTACCCTCATAGTAACCCTTACAGACCCCTTTTGAAAGGAGCCCGTTAAAGGAACCCTATTCTAATCAGTAAGGCCCCAAAATAACCGGGTTTCGGACTTAAGGCAATCTCAGGGTGGTGGGGTTCGGATCGAGCGTTCTGGGTACTTACACGGCGTAAGGTTTGGTCTTGGGCTGAATGGTTAGGGCTTTACGGGGTTGTGTGTGTTTTTTTACAGTTTTGAAGGGTCCATGTCTCTGGGGTCCATGTTGGGAATTGTCAGGGGGTTTGCGACGTTGTTTCTTTGAACTTTGTGTCGTAAAAAGTTCCAAGTTCTATACAAGGGTTACTATAAGAGTTCCAGAAGGGTTTCCTGAAGGGGACTTGTGTGTCTCCGAACCTCCGAAATCGAAGCTCGCAGCCTCGGAGCTCGAAGAAGTTCGTCAAGCAGTGAGCCGCCTAGCATAGGCTCTAAGACAGAAACTTCAGGGCTCTTAGTTGCCGGCTGCCTCTGAGCATGAAGAGCTATGTGCCGAATCCCGTGCCCTGCAGCAACGGTGGCAGGTGGGAAGTTTAGGAAACTGGCTCCCTTACTGTACTTGGAGTCCTCATGATAAGGATCCGATTGTTTCGGATTTACGGTTATTGTTGGGGTACGTTATTGGGGGGAAGGGCAGTTATTGTACCATCTTTTGCAGGTATGCATCCATTGCAGAGGCTGCCGCACAACAGAATCCTCAGGCAGTCGTCGAGATGCTGTCGCAGGGCCACAAAGCAGAGTATCAGGACTCTGATGGCAACACAGCTCTCCACTATGCTGTGTGGTTCAGGCTAGATTCACTGCTCACCCCGTTACTGGAACGAGGGGCACGACCAGACATTCCCAACAATTCCGGAGAATGTGCCATACACTGGGCTGCGAACTCTAGCAATGTCATAGCTTTGGATGCGATGACGAAGGCCAACCGAGCTCTTCTCTCGATACGCAACCATGATGGCTTCACTGCCTTCCTTTTGTCCGCGCAGTCGGACAACTGCCCCGTGATGGAGTGGCTGTACCTCAAAGGTGTCGGCTTGGAAGAGCAGGACGACTGCGGCAGAACTGCCCTGCAATGGGCCTGCCACAAAGGCAACAAGAAGACAGTCCAGTGGTTGCTCTCGCGATCTGCCAGCATCGTTCACCGAGATGGAGAAGGCATGACAGCACTTCACCACGCAGTTTTGCAAGGACACACACTGGTCTTGGAAATGCTCATGGAAGTCGGGGCTGTGCACCTCTTAGATGTCCCAGATAACGCTGGCAAAACTCCGATTGAACTCGCAATGCGGCAGGGGAAGAGGCCCTTGGTGCTTGCCTTCCGCAAGTGCCAGGTCTTTAACTTTCTGTTCGGGCGGCCACACATTTTCCAGACAAACTACGCAGGTCTCTTCGTGTGCTGCGCTGTCTACAACATCATCATCTTTGCTTTCGTCATAGCGCCGGCAATTGCAGCTAGGAATCCTGAAGCCGTCCTAATCTGGTCGATGCTCATGGGGTTGTCTCTGCTGCTTTGGGTGCAGTGCCTGTTCTCGGATCCTGGCTGGCTCCAGCGACGGACCATACACTCCCAGAGTCAGCTGCTGGGCGACGATCCCGCAAGGGCGTTTGATGTTCAGCAACCGATCGAGTCGCAGATGGCTCACTGCGACAGCATTCTTCAGCATCTGACCTGGACATGCGACGGCGAGATCCCGGAGGTCACGAAGCTGGAGCTAGAGCAGAACAAGTACAACTATCAGCGCCACCTTCTCCAAGAAGCACAGAAACGACTCAAGGAAGGCTGTGGCCTCCGTGACCCTCGAAGCCCAGCCTTGGGCGAATCGCAGCCCCTGATCGCTTCAAATTTCATTGATGGGGGGTCCCGGCAGGCCCAGTTGGACAGAGCAACTGTGGCTCTACACGAGCGCGAACGTGCTGCAGTAGAAAACCTGGGCCACGCAAGAGTGGAGCACTTGCTGACACAAGGAGCTGTCGAGTATCTGACCTTGGTGAACAAAGGCGACTTCAAGAAGGTGTGCGTCATCTGCCGGACCGTACGAAAATTTCGCTCGCACCACTGCAACGAACAAGGTCGATGTGTCGATCGTATGGACCATCATTGCCCTTGGATAGGCAATAGCGTTGGCTTGGGCAATCAGAGATCTTTCTTTTCCTTCATCAGCGTGCTTCTTGCCGCCCTCCTCTACTTCTACTACACAGTCTTTCTTTATGCCGTCGACAAGGTGTTTCCAGATATCTCTCGAGGCTCCCTGACAAGTGGGTGCCTTGGAGCAGAGTTGCTACCAACTCTGGTTTTGATTACGGCCGCGTTTGACGCAGTTTGGGTTTACTTCGTCGGAATGCTTGTGGGCAGAACCACTGCCAACATGATGGTGAACCTAACTGCATACGAAGTCTTGGTTAGACCCAGCCACGTGCTGCGACGCTTTCCCAAAACACGAGGAGCGTATTGGTACCTCCAGGGTTTTGGGATCAGATCTGCCTTATACAATGTCATTAGGTTCTGGACATTAGACGACAGCGGAGATGCGGTGGCTTTTCGTAGAACTCAAGAGGTGCATGGCAAGCCTTCTCACTTGATGGAAGAGCCCTGAGATTGGTGACTGCATGCATGTAGTATCAAGAGTGGTAAGAGTTTTAAGAGTTTCACGCCGACGAATTTCGAAACCAGGAATGTCGTCTCGCTGAACTGAGTGTGTGAACGGAAATCCAAAAATAGCCGTCTCTTGAGTCCGCTTGGGGGAGTTCAATTTCTCGAGGAGCCCTGCAGTGCAGGAACTCTGATCGTTCCGATGAGCGCCTTCTTTGATGGCCTTTGCAGGTTTGTTTACGGCCTGGGAGAACGGTTCTGAACGTGGATACTCTTTGACCCCGTTCAGCACTTGCTGGGTCTGCATTTGTTAGATTCTGTCTGGTGTTAATTGCAGTAGTCATGAAAAATTCAACATGCACGGATTCTAGGCGCCCCTGAAGAGGAAATTGCCCGTTCTTTTGCTAGTTTACGGGCTCAAGAGCACATGGGTAGTCCTCTTAATCCGTTTTATAAGGCTGCCGTACTATTTTGGCGACTTCCCCAACTTAGAAAGCTACCCTTATAGTACAATTACAAAATCCTTTGAGGGAGCCCAAAAGGTAAGCTCTGGAGACCAGGGCACTCTGCCCAGGTAGTAGTAGGGAGACCCTTTGAAGCGGACCCTTCTTAACCCCACTTCTGGCTCTCCTGAAAGGTACCGTGTTGAAGAGGTCTATATCCCCAAGGGTCCCACTAAGGTCCTTTTGCAAGACCGATCCTGGGGCTGAAGGCTTTCTGGGATTATATGCTATATGTCAGGTCTTATATATATATATATGTTTATATGTATAAATTCATTACCATATATTACATAGGAGGTATTGTTACATTATATGTTATGTATTATATATGTGGGTTCAGGGTTTGGGCTGTCGGGTCAGGCCTTGGGCGGAATGGGCCAGATTTTTGGGGCGGTTGTGAGTATAGGTGCGTTGGTTTTCTTCGATCAAGCTGTTTCTTTGGGGTAGATGCAGGAATTGGCAGGGTGTTTTTGATGTTGTTTTTCTGGACCTTCTGTTTTCTTACGAGAAGGTTCTGCAAGGGGTGCGGTGGATTCCAGTTTAGGGGTTTATGGTATTAATCACGCCCCCCAAACAAGCCCCAAATGTCCCTCAAACTGGGGTAGACCCGAAACTCGACCCCCCATCTTTCTCAACAACCAAAAGCGAAAAACTTTGGGCCTTGTCCCTAATCCCGGAGCCCTAAGCCCTAAACCCTAAACCCCAAACCCTAATCCCTAAACCCTAGTCCCGAAACCCTAAACCCCAAACCCTACGCCCTAATCTTCACTTCACTTCACTTCACTGCAAATCGGTCCGGGGTCCGGCGCAGACTAACGTGCAAAGCCCAAAAGTGACAGTCGTTGTGACCGCACAGGCAAGAAAACGAGGCGAGAGGCTCCTCAGGAGCGACCCAGCGACTCGGAACGGAAAATCAATGAGGCACGGACAGGGAGCACGGCAGGAGACGGCCCGCCAGGGACAGGAGCGCACAGAGCAGCCAGAGCGGGCTGCCACACACGGGGGCAGCAAGGGTGGTGTGCGACAAAGACCGTGCGGCCAGAAAGGCAAAGCCGAGAGAAGACGGCAGAAGGCAGCAGTGCCCGCAACACAGCAGTGCCAGTAGCACTCGGGAGACCCCACAGCCAGAGTGCTCCCCCGAGGCGAACACGGGCACAGATGTGGCGGAAGGAAACCGTGGCAGCAAGAAGGCAGAGGAGAGGCAAAGGGGGGTCACGAGCACAGGGAGTGTGATGCGATGCGGCGCCTCGCAGTGCACGTAGAGGCCCCTTAGCAGCCTCATCCCACGGATGCAAAGAGGAAGCAGCCTTCCAACAGTTCCAATAACGGTGCCAAGTCTGTGGAAGCTGCCAGACAGTATGTCCGACGTCCTTGGCCGACCACAGCATGGAGGGTACAGCCCAGTTGGTCGGCTTTTCATCATAGTCATGCACACACCTCCACCGAAGAGACTGGGGCGCAGCAGAGCCCGAGGCGGAAGAGATGACTCCGGAAGGCTGAGAGATGGGAGGAACAGGAGGCTGTTCAACATGGGGAGCTTGCAGTCGTTGATCGGCCAGTTGCACAGGTGGCTCGGGAAGAGGGGGCCAGTCGTAGACGTGCGCCGCCCCTACCACTTGGCGAAGCTCTGTGGCAAGCTCTGCCGCTGAGCAGGCCCTACCGGCTTCAGCAGCACGACGCTGTGCTGGCGTGGCGTTCAGCGGCTGAGGCAGTCGGATGGCCGGGACACCTCGGTGTCCGCGAGGTCCGCCACGGCGGGTGCCGGTACCATACTCATAGACCTCACCGACCGTGACTCGCAGACCATGAACACACGACGGGTTGGTGCGGAGATGATACTTGAGACGGTCAGTCGAATGCATTTCATGGTGACACCAAAAGCAGGCTGTGCCGTGCGTGTAACGGGTGAGCCAGTTAACAACTGAGTGCTTCCGGTGAACGTGTGCGGCAAGCGCCTGGGCACTGGGGAGTGCGGCGCGGCACAGAGGGCAAATAGCCTGAACCGAAGGGCCCAGGACTTTCCGCATGCGTGGGCCGTCGAGGTCATGCCATAGATCATGGAAGGCACTGTGTAAGGTACCCCATCGGCTAAGAAAGCGGCAAGCATTCAGCAACCCCCGTTGATTATCGCGCACAAAGGCAAGAGAGGTGGTGACAAACCTGCCACAGCGGCCCGGAACACCACGAGCGACAGCCCGACATGCATCAGCGAGTAGTTCACACCAAGGAACCGCGTGATTCCATGCAGTATCGAACAAGCGCCAGACAGGTTGAGGGGCTTTATGCACTAGCTGGACCGTAAGCCTCGCCCTGGCAATAAGCACGGCCTGTGCCGGGGAGGAGAGGCCTAGCAAGCAGAGAAGAGAGGCTCGATGCAGGACATGACCAAATCGCCAAGAGCCCACCACAGTGCGAGCGAGTCGTTCGAAGAGGCCTTCTAATGGTGCAGTAGCGCGTTCTGAGACCGCGATGCAGGTAGCCAGCGTAGCGTACGCGGCAGGCAGAATGCGGCCCGCGACCCACGCTTGTTTTAGGGCCCAGGGCACGGACTCACTGCTGAGGAGGTTGCGACCATGCATCCATGCCGTCCGGCCACGTTGGGCGCTCAGCTCAGTGTCACGTCGACCCGTGTCCCTAACTTGCTGAACGACCCCTAAGTACCTGTACTCAGGGGTCACGCGAAGTTCCGCTCCATTGGGAAGCTGCCAGGGCCCCCCATGTCCGAAAAGCTCCCCTCGCACTGCCTTCGCCTCAGGGCCCCGAATGTCAAGAAGAGCCTCAGTCTTCCCTAAGCCCAAGTTAACCTTAAACCGAAGGGCATGCAAGGTGTCCAAGACAATTTCAGCAACTCTCGGGAAGGCTTGCTGAAGCTCTCGTGGCGAAGCGTAATCAGTAATGATGGCCAGGTCATCTGCCCAGCCAATGGAGACCGGCGTTGCTTCGGCACCAGACGCAGTGCTTGCTGAGTGGCATGCGAGCCCCTCTGCACAACAAGTGTCATCGATGTGACGAAGAGCGATAGCGAAGAGGGCTCCGAAGAGAACATCGGCCAACCCGTCGCCAGGTCGCGACCCTCTCGTAGCTAGAACGTATCTATCAGAGCCAACAAGTTGCCAATGGGCACATGCGACGCAGTCTTGCAACAAGGCTATTTCGTCTGCCGGAACCCCAAGAAGGTGAAGTGCGCCGTCACAGCGGAGGCAGGTGACAAGGCTGGCTAAGTGCCATAACCGACCCTCATCTGGCTGGAGTCCGAGTTCACCACCCTGAAAGATGAGGTCCCGGCTCGCTTCATAGTACGCAGCACGAATATCAACATAAAGAATGGCACAACTTCTGTGAGCTTCTACACTGAGAGCCCACGCACTCCGGAAGGCTGCGACCGCAAAACTGACCGGCACGCCAGGTCGCCCTCCAAGTTGGAGCCCCCTATGCCCCACGCCCCTTCTCAGGAAACCATGGTAAACTTTAGCCATCCCACTCATCAAGGCTATGGACCTGTAATTTTGCGGCAGTGCCGCTGGTCCTTTCTTATAAAGCGCGCAAATCAGCGCCAGCTTAAAATGGGGGGGCTCTCGGCCGGTTAGGGCGGTTTGGGTGCAAATCAACCAGAACCACTGTCCAGCTTGGACAGGGTAGTGGCGCCAAAGTTCGTTGAGCACAAGGTCTGGACCAGGTGCCTTGGATCCTTGCTGGCGTCGGCAGGCAGACTCCATTTGCAAGAGTGTAGGCACTGCCGCCGGGCAGGGGTTTGCTGGGGAGGCATCCCAGGCAAGTTGCGTCAGGCGGAGTTGCTGGGCAGTTACGAAACGACCCCCCTCTTGCTCCCGGAATTGTTCTTCCAAGGCCGCGTCGATATTATAACCTCCTGCGGCGTGGACTGCTCTGCGTTCGGCGGCCCTGCGAGACGCCCACCGGAGTTTAACGATGGATTCCATGGCACAGCCATGGCGGTGCCAAAGGTCAGTAGCCTGGTGTGTCAATTGCAGAAAATACCATGCCTTATCGCGCTTGGCAGAATTATGGGCTCTGCGACTAAGATGGTACTCCTGAGACAGCATGGCCGCTTCCAATAGGCGATGCTGATGCCACTGTAGGTGGGCATGACGGTCAGGGAAGCCTTGTTGCTTCCATCCTTGAAAACACAGATGCAGCAGAAGCCTCGCCCCCTCAGACTTAACGTGCCGTACCTGCGCGCGCCAATCTCGCAGTCTGTTCAGGTGACCCAGAGTGGTAGCCTGAATATAAGGCTGCTTCGGGGTGAGAGGTGGTCGAGACGGGAGGGCCTTCCGCCATGCGCCATACCCGTCAAGCAGTGACTGGACAAGCTCCCCCGTGCAACTCAAGCCATCAAGGCGGACGTCCTTCCAGATGGCTTGTCCTCCCTGTATAACCTCCGAAGGTAGACAGCGACGCGGGGCATCACGCCGTCCTTGGGGAGCTGCAGCGTGTAGAGTCGCCTGCGCCCATAGGGCCATGTGGTCCCGCTGGACGTTGACGATATCAAAGGCAAGGGCTTGGCTAGTACGAGCGATTTCCCAGGGCCCTGCTTGGAACAACAGGTGATCAAGACGCTTGCGCTTAGAGCTAGTATGTTGCCAGCTCCATCCTTCCCCTAATTGAGTATCGGGGAAAGTAGCCGGTGCGACGAGGCCAAGCCGGAGACACATTTCCAGCAGACAGTCATCATTACGGGCCGGCTCCGCCTGCGAAACCAATGTGCCAATGAGGTGGTCGTCCTCGTCAGCCGAACAGAAATCCCCGTTGGCATCAAGGCCAATAAGCAGCACGCGATATCTAGGGGCCTCCTGCAGTGTTTGGGTCAAGAGAGCCCAAAATTCGGTAGCCTCTCGGTCTGGTCTGTCGGCATGAGGGGCGTGAGCAGAACAAATTGTCACTGGCAAGAGCGAAGACAGGCAGGTGATCACTAAGATCCTGGGCGTGCTAAGAAGAATGCGCCAGTCGCTCAATTGCAGCGCAGGTGTGACAAGACGGGGGTTGACCCAAATTTCACATCCGTACTGGCCTTTTTCGGCGCCAGAGCGCCAGGTGTGCCATCCTGCTACGGACCAGCGTCCTGGGCGACTTCTGGCCTCCTGGATACAGAGGATAGTTCCATCAGATGCTGGCGACGCGCCGCATGACCCGCGGGATTGAATGGATTAGGGGACGAGTCTTTGAGGGATTGAACGTTAGCAGTGGCAACACAAAGTGGTACTGGTGCGGGCCTAGGCGCTATACTGTCACTGTCAGGGACCTCTGGGAGCGCAGGAGGACACCATTGACCCAGGCCGATAGGCATCCTATAAGTGGGGCGACCGTCAACGACCTTCGCCTTAGCAACCAACCAGAGCCAGGGGCTGAGCGGTGAGAACCAGTGGGCCCAGCGGCTCGACGCCAAGCTAGGGTGGGCTTTAGCGTGTAACACCCACGTAGCAAGCGCGTCAACTATGGTGTTGACGAAGACTCCAGTGTGACTATGCACATGCTGAAAGCTCGTCGAAATCCGGGCTTGTACGGCCTGCCACACAGCGCGAGTCTCTGCCGCACCGAGCTGATCCGTCGCGGCATGGCCAGCAGCGACCTGCATGGCGGAGGAGTTGTCGACCGCGATAGTAAGAAGGCGGGGCATGGACCCCATGTGCATGGACCACAGATCTAAGTTCGCTAAGCACCACATGGCTGCCGCCTGCAGCGCCGCGAGCTCACCGCGATAGGAGCGTGTATCAGCACCGCCCCCAGAGACGCCTTCGGGCATCCAATTGGCCTGGGGAAGGGTTCCTGCTTCCCAATCGATCCGGTGCCATATGCCGGCGAACAAACCCCAGACCGCAAAAGCCCAGGACCCTGACCCAGCACCGCTACCATCGGTGGCTATTAGCAGAGAGTCAGGGACACCTCCGTTCCATGCTGGCGACAGTTGCCAGGATGCGTGATATGCTGGCGGGAGCGGAGACGGCAAAGCGAGTCGCTGTGAGCGTGTCCACCAGGTCTCGTGCATAGCTGCTTGGAGGTGGCACACGTCAGAGAGGTCCGCCTGCCAACAATCAACGGACTTTTCCCATCGGGGGGCTCCAAAGGCCGCAAGGTAAACACCTAGCCAGACCAAACTCCAATGAGTGGGACCCAGATTGCGGATGGCTGCAGTGTCGCCCCTCAGGCCACCGGTACTCAGGAACATGCCAGCTACGACGAGGGCTCGACCAATGCTACTGGACCTCAGCCCATGACTAAATGGCATGGGAACATGATGGAGGTCCGGGGGATGCGGGTCACCAATCCTATCCGCTGGCGGCTCTGCGTCGATGCTACGCATCACCGCCGGTGCCTCTGACTCAAGTGGGGCGGAGAAAGCACGAAAATGAATACAGTTAGTGATGGAACTGGCAGTGTCAGTGCATGGCCACCAAGATTCGAGAAGCCCTTGGAGAGCAGGCCGAAGCGTACACGCATGGGAATCCCATTTCTGGGTGCCTTCGAGAGCAATGGCAAGAGGAAACAGATCCCCGGCTCGGTGTAGGATAGCCATCCCTGGCCCGTCAAAGTCGAGGTCATGGCTCCACAGGCCGAGCTCTTGTGCCTCAAGTGGACTACTGAAGTGTTGCCGCAAATGATAGTCAAGGGAGGGCTGCCATCGACTGGTACATGTAGCCAGCAGATCACCATGTCGAAGTCGGATCTCACTGCCATCTGAGGCTGCAGAGCGCAGCGACGGATGATTGCCGACTAGAGAGGTCATGTCGGGAAACAGTCCCTTCAGTGCCTTGAAGAGCAAGCGTTTAGTAAGCCGCGACGGTAGGATAACCGCCAAGGGCCGCGGGGCTCCGAGCACCAGGACGGTAACAAGGGAGTTGGTCGCAAGTAAGGGGACCCAATGATGTTCATAGGGTTCCAAGCTAGGATGAACCTTCGCGTGCCCCCGAAACCACAGCGGCTCAAGATAATGCAGCCACTGCCGTACCTCATCCTCTTCTGAGCAGAGCACAGGTCCCAGGCGTCCCCGATATGGGCTCCAGAGCCAGTGAGGAGGCTGCCCGGACGGGGCCGCTCCTGTCGGCATCGCAGCAGCAGTACCGAGGCGGCACCCTAACCAAATCACGCCCTTAACCAAGGGTGATGTCCAAGTAAACAAGCTACAACCGCACAAAGAACCTCGGATGCCCTACTGCCTTCCGAGCGATCTTCACTATTAAAGTGCAAAATATCTCCATCCCGAAGGGGGGGCCAGTCTACGTGATCCCCAGGCAAACCAAGTAACCGAACCTTGTCGGGTCTAACCCCCCAGGCAACCGCAAAAGCGCGGGAGGAGATGCGAGTATTGACAGTATGGCAGTTACCTCGTAACTTATCGCCAGTCAACTCCTCAACTATAACATTGCAGCAAACTTCATCATCAGCGCGCTGGCACAGGTGCACATCGTGTGAATATGCCCAAGGTACCGGCGCCCAGTGTCCCGGGTACCGTTGCTGGAACTCGCCCTCAAAGGCAGCCAAGTTGGCCCGCCATTGGCTGCCAGGTGGTAAGACCGTGCGGGAAGGGCGCCGCCCAGGGACCCAAACAACGACCGGCAGAGCACATGTGCAAAAGAAATCGTAAGACCAGACGGCTGAGGTGCGGACAGCCGACCCGTGGGAGAAACTGGGCTGATCATGCAGAGCGGATCCTGAGGGTCCCATTGCCAAGAACAGGTCCCCGTTGCGCCAATCCACCGCTTCATTATAGGGCCAGCCGAAGAAGGGGCCGACTGAAGTGGACGGTAGAGCGTGCTGGTCGCACTCGGTGCAAGACGGCGCAGGTACGACAGCAACCATGTCAGGTCTGTACGTTTGGGAATGAGCACAGGTAACTGCCACTCTGGAGAAACCACGAGAACACATACTAACCTCCTGTCATCTGGAGCAGGGAGGAAGTTGATATGTGGCACCCAGATGTTCGGCCAAACAGGCATCAGGTCTGTGCACCAAGCAGGACCGCAACTAACCAAATTGATAGTAAGGTCCTCAACCAATGTCTCCGGGGAGACCGGTACCAATGGGGCATCAGCCTCAAAAGGCGAAAAGAGACGGGCACACCCTTCAGAGGGGACTGCTTCATGGCACGCTCGGTGCTCGACGGGAACGCGCCACGGAAACATGCCAATGTTACCGACATCTCCCCCTTGAACCTCCTGCGGCGGGGCGAACATGGAGGAGGCAGGTAAGCTTATACAGAGAAGGGGCAGGAAAAGACTGAGGCCAGAGTAACCCCTAAACCCGGCCAACCCGAGGGCAGCGAGGATGTCAGCGAACCGAGATCGAGCAGAGACGCGAGACGTTGGCACTAGCACATCGCCGTCCCGGAGACCCCCGTCACGATTGCGGATCTGGATATCCGGTCTGTGTTGCCACCCGAAAGGAATATCACAGCCAAGCCGGCTGAGTGACAATAGTCGGCATTCGTCCGCGGAAGCATCCAAGGGGTCAACCATCAGCACACGAGCTTCCATAAAGTCGGAACGGCGGACAAAATGGCACTCGCCGTCCTTAAGGCAGGGGACGGGAACGATCTTATCCGCGAGCGGCTCACCCCTAGGTGGGACAAACTGAGACCAACGGGGCATCCATGTGCTATGGGCAGTTACCCAGTGTCTCTCACACTGGTGCTCGAGATTTTCCTCATCGTGCCAAATGAAGATCCAGCCTCCGTGCCGGAGCCGAAACGGAACATGCCAAAGATTGAGGTGATTGAGGTGATCGACCCGGGCGACAGTTTCTGATGGTTGGGACCGGAAAGCAGGATGGTACATGTCCAGCTCAAGTGAGAAGGTGTCTCCGTCACGCAAGGCCAAGGAAGCGTCGCGAGGCATCTGAGCTCGAGTCAAAGCTGGAGGCAACCGCAACCAGATTCCAATTGGCCAGCATAATCTTTGTAGGTGCCTCAGAAGGACATCGAGGCAGCAGTGTCGGGGCACAACGGCGGCATGACTAGATCCTCCGGCGTGAACAAAAATTGTTGCTAATCCTGCACTGGGTAGGGGCAAAACAACACCCATGCCTGTGATGCGGCTCGGACCCAACAATAGATGGCCTCGTACCCATCCTCCACAGAACCTTCGGGTGATATGTTGGAAATCGGTATGCGTGGTGGAGGCCGGCGCTTGTATGCAAGAGCTCCAGCCTCGGAAGGGACAGAGGATATGATAATCCCAGCGCTGAGGAAAAGATTCAAGGGGATGCGTGAGTTCAGGCTTCCAGAGTCCAACCGGTGCAACCGTACAGTCAAATTCATCTTCACTGGAATCGGGCGGTGTGCGGGAACGGCCTCTAACAGCCCCTGTAGGTGGCAGCCAAGAGGAAAAGACCAAGACGAAGCATGCACTGGACCCTGTGACGATCCAGCAGGCCCCCGTAATCGCTCCTAGCGCAGTGCGGCTGGGGCTGGCACTAGCGAGGGGATCCCACGGGCGTGCCTGTGGGTCCGAGAGAAAATTATCAAAGACGATGTCACCATCCCGTAGCCGCCAGTCGACAGACATACTCGGCACGCCGATGACAACTAGTTCAGTGGACAGCAAACCTCGAGCAGCTGCAAAACGAGCAACCGTCTGGCACCTGTCTGTGGCCTGCGCTACAAGCTGCCCCTGGCTTTCAATAAAAACATGCACTATATTAGCATCATCAGAAGCTTGCGTCATGTGAACAACATGGCTTGGGGCCCACGACACAGGCACCCAGCGGCCAGCGAAAGACTGCCGAAAGGGCCCGTCAAATGAGAGAGAGACCGGGTCCCACCAGGTTCCTGCCGGGAGCAGGTGCACAATTGGCTGTCGAAGAGAGGGCAACCACAGGTACACAGGTACAGGAAAGGAAAGGAATACAGGGCGCGTCCACAAGGTGCTATCCTTAAGCTGCCCAACGGAAGTGGGACGGCAACAAGTTGCCTCCTGCCTACCTGCCAAGACATCGAGAACATCGCCCGTGCGTAAGTGGATGTCAGCATTGGGCCTCAGACCACAAAGAGCAAAAACAGCTGGTGGCAGGCGCACTTGTCCAACCTCGAAACGAGCCAAGTAGACCACTGCCCTGCAGATCTGCTCGTATGCTGAGTCAGGAGGCAGGAGCAAGGACCGCTGGCAGTGTTCGGATCGCGCGACCACACAAACTAGGGGATTGGCCTCGGTCATCTGAGGCACAAACAAGAGTCGGTCACTCCGGTCGCCAGGCCACACCGGCATGAGCCCTGCTACTGCGCTATCACCCCCCTGATATCGACGAGCTAGTGCAGCGGTAGTGAGCGTACTGGGACCCTGAAAGTCACCTTGTGGCCCCAACCATGGACACAAGTAGGTGGCACGAAAACCAGCTGCGTGACTGACATGTGAAGCGACCTGATCGTCGGGGGCTAACCGCCAAGGGTAGTGGCCAAGCGAATAGGTGACGTGCCGCTGGTCAGTGCGACTCAGATGGACCGCGTCGCAAACAGGCAAAGCAGAAAGGTATTCTGGGCAACATGGGCCTGAAGGGCTATCGACAAGAACCGTCCTAGCATAACCCAACTGTGAGCAAAAAGCCCGAAAAAGGCAAGTCCCCGTGGCAGTTGAGCACGATGCTGAAGCAGGGCACCCAAGGCAGGCAGGGGGGAGAGCCTGGAAGAGCTAGTGGAGGATCGAACCGGCTCCGGCGGAGGGGGGCCAAAAGGACCGACATCAGCATGCAAGCAATCTCCGTCCCGCAAGTGAATGGGCCGGTTAGGATCTCGGCTAGCAGTATAAGGTTCCCTGATGCGCCCCCTTCGACCCCGCACAGTGATCTGCGTGCCGCGACCTCCAATAAGTGAGCGAGCAGAGGGAGATGCCCGATCGTAATAACACAGATACCTGAGCTGTGTCAGCAGCTGCCGGGATGAGGTGCACTGAGAGAGCATCGGGCTGAGGGTAGACGCTCACAAGGGGCTGCCACCCTCGCCGGGCAACATAGTCACGGAGCATCTCCTCGAAGATGAGTCCGGTAGCAATGCTAGAGGTGAGAAGTTCACAGGTAGACCCCCGCGAAAAGGGGTCGTGAATCGTAATGGGACAGCCATGTGGTAGGAAGGGGTGCCCTTGGGGAGCCACATTAACACCTTGTAGATGTGCAGCAACCCTGCGCTGCATGGCCGGAACCATGCCCTGGTCAAAGGCCGGCACATTGGCCACAGTGGGACCGTCAACAGGCACCATAGTGCTGGCAGCGGCAGAGTCACTTGCCCGGACAGTGCTGGCTAAGCCTTCCCCTTCGATGGTTGTGTCAGGAGTGGGCGCCTGCAGGTCAGAATATGAAGGTGAGCTGGGCTCTACCGGCGCTTCCGGGCCCGTGGGGTCCTCCGTGACCGCACCCGCAGCATCGACAGGTAGCCCCAAGAGCTCCGAAGCCAGAAGGAACATCCATGGACGGAGCTGAAAAAGGAGAAGCAGCGAACCCACACTATGGAGACCCCAGGATCGAGACCTTGGGCTGGAGCCATCCCAGTGTTCTACACTCGTCCATGGATCAGGTGTCGACGCGGTGTGCAAGGCTTCAACTGGCCTCGAGTCTACATCGCAGCGAGATGCCGGGCCAGTGGTTGGGGCCAGCACTCCTGAAGCCTCAAGCCGGGTGGTCAAGTCCTGCAAACGGCTAGTCACCTGGGTGAGCTGCGCAGCCATCTCGGAGTGGTGACAGAGCGATGCATTGTCGCCATCAGGTGACCGTACCGGACCCCGGCCAGTGTGTCGGGCGTTGTCAGTCGCACGCAAAGACAAGGCAGGCTCACCAAGGGGTCCCATACAGATATCGTAGTCAAACTGAGGCACCCAGCAAGCTTCCGGTGGGGCATCCCATGTCGAAAAACCAGCATGGTTGGGCTGAGTCATGCGAACCAGGGAGATGATGGCCCCATGCGGGGGCACCGGCAAGGGAGTGTTGAATGGGAAAACTCGCCCGCAGTGATGCACTCCAAATGCACCCTTGGTAAAGAAGTCACCCCCGAACGCCTCGACAGCCTGCTGCGAGACAAAAGTCCAGTCAAAACCGGGGGCTTGTACAGCGACAACCGCCCCTTTGCCTCGGAAATGTAGCAACCAGAAAGGTGTCGGAGGGGCGACCCCAGACGGGATGTGCAAAAGATGCGCGACCCCTTTGACGATCCGCGGTGTAGTCCACACAAAGTCACCTTCAGCAGGGACGCCGAGTGTCAAAGACCCATCTCGCAAGCCTTGAGGGATCAGGGCTATCCTGGTAGGGGACATTGAGAGGACCTGCGAGAGTGTGCGTCCAGACGCGCATGACAGAGGGTTGCTGCACAGAGGAGCAACCCCATGGCTGAGGCAGGGCCGGCGGCCCGCTGACTGCCAAATTATTAGCATTGCCTGGTGCAATGTGCATAGCCGTGCCTATGACCAGGCTCAGTAGGAAGCCCAGATAACGGGTTGGACGGCGAGAGGAGCTATGAGCAACAGAAGCCGCAGCCGCACTCCCAACCATTAGTTCAGAAAGAACCAACCCGCTAGAGATGGCCTATGACTCGCGTAAGAGGACCCCCTATATAGGCTCGGACTCCTTGCGGCAGTGCCCTTAAGCGCGCAACTTCTGGCGAGGCGATGAGGCCTGAGGCTTGACCATGGGAGTTGAGCGTAACAGCAATACGGTCGTGGCCTTCATACCAGAATGCAACTGGGCGTAAGAGCTCTCGCGCCAGCCCATCCCGCACGATCCACCAAATGGAACTGCCAGCTGGAATGGAGAGAACGTCAGCAACAGTAGCTTGAGTGTCGAACGCCAGGTGTAGGCGATGATCAGCGGCTCGATGACCCGCTGCTGCTAGCAAGTATGCGAATTGACCTGAGGTGACCTGTTTTGGTGCCTCGAAAAGGGTGGGTCCGCCCAGCGGAGTCCACACAGCAACCTGAAAGGTGTCAAAGGGTGCCAGACGAGAGAGGTGGTGGCGCAGGCCATCCGCTGTCGTGGCGAAATGGGTATGGCGACAAGCAAGTTCGTGGCACCACGCAGGACATGCCTCCGTCGGTTCCGGGAGCTCAATCTCCAGTGCCTCGGTATCACTGTCCGACCCAGACGAAGGTGGGGGACGGCGATTGCGAGTAGCCTGTGTAGGGTTCCCAACCCAGGTCAAGATGACCAAAACTAACCCTCGGTGCCCCCATTTGCCGGTAACAAAGGCGAGTGGCCACAGACGAGAAGGGCCTCCCCAAGAAGCAGACCGGGTGGGGTTATCGTCATATCGTGCCGCAATGGAGTCAAAGTCAATGTCACCACAGGCATAGGAGCGAGGTGTCAGGCACGTGTCCCGTCCCTCGTGTAACAGATGCCCGCATTGCCCAGCAAAGGAAGCGAGCTCCGCTGGCCACGTCCAAGAAGCAGAACCACTGTGTAAACTGCTGCCAGGGAGATCCCAGATGGTGAGGCCAGCGACAGCTGCAACATCTTGCCAAGAGACTTCAGCAGTGCACGCTCCGTACACCCAATGGCCAACGCGCACTGCCCAAAGAAAGAAATCCTGCCGGCACGGTATAGTGCAGTGGGTGCCCATATGTGGACATTCAAGATGGAAGAGCGTGCCGCTGTGCTGCAAACCTTCAGCCGGCGAACAGCCGCGTGCTTGCGTTCGGACAGGCAGAGAGGCCGAGAAGACAGGAGAGGCAGCGGCAGGCCACACAGTGGGCATCGTCTGTACCCCGATACTACGACCTAGCACAGCCCCGATCTCCTCAGGCTCAAGCCGAGGAGGGCTGGGGGGTATCCCAATTTGTGGTACAACCTGGGTCCAGCTTAGGCTAAAACCAAAATCATGGGCTCTCCCTAGGTCAAGGCCAAGATGGAGGAAGGCCAGAGGACATCCTGATGACATTTGCAATGCGGGGACCAAAGAGCGCCGAAGATGGACAGGGTTGCGCTCAAAGACAGCGGTCCAGAACTCTCCATATACTGAATCTGCTTGCAGAGCTCTGCACGAGGGGGGCGCAGCACCCCAGGCATCACCAGTACAGATAATGGGCGGCCCTGCAGTATCTCCTATGTCGGTGAGAACCGTAGTGATGGTGCCCTTACCTAGTCTAGGGAGGCAGTAGAGATCAACTGGCGGTCGGGTGATTGGGATCCTATGAAGCCCAACCCCAGTGCAACGGGCAACACCCCAGTGTTCAGCCAAAGCTTGTAGCAATAGGGAAACAGTAAAATCCCGTGGTGCTTGAATGCAAAGCAATTGGTGGTCAGCCGAGGTAACATACACGCTGGTGCTAAGGGAAAGCCACTGCACAGCATCGGCGCCCAGCGGAATGGAGACAGGCCCAACCTCAAAGGGCTTGCTGTCCTCGTCGGCATGCGCGAGGATGACATCTCCAGTACGTATCCCTCTGCCTGGTTGCACTTCCAGTCTAAAATTGTGCCCCGGTTCCAATAGATGGATAATTGATAGGGCGGCCTGACCTGCACCTTGGTGTGGAACATCAACACAATACCGGCGGTTGCCAGTGTCGAGGAGAACGGTGTAGTGAGTGAGCTCCCGCGGCGGGGCAACAAACTGAACACATCGATGCAGAGGCATAGGTGAGACCAGAACGGCAGGGCCGCGTCCTAGCCTTCCGGAACATTGCTGCAAGAGTTCCTTGAAATGAAAGAAAGGGCGGTCCCCTTGCAGGTAAAAGCGAAACGTCTCAGCAGGACTAGCGACGGAGAAACAGAACATAGTGTGGACACGGCCCGGCAGTCCTGCAGCATCAATCCACGACAGGCGCGTAAGCGAGTCGGGGAAGGACAAGCGAAGGGATAACCGGTAGTGTTCCTGTACGCTGGCAAGCGCAGGGAAAAGATGGTGGGAGTCATCAACCTCATCTTCAGGCCTGACCTGAAGGGGTACCCCTTCTTGGAAACCTGGTACCATGCCAGCAGCAGGCGAAAACCCACCTAAAAGCGCGATCCCCAAGAGACGCCAATGAAAGCACCCAAGGAAAACTAGAACCCATCCACATGATGGCTGAACTGCTGGAGAGACATCAAGAGGGGATGGATTTCGCTCGTATGCGGATGGTCTACGGAATCCTGACCCTCAGCGTCCAGGTAGCCTGCGGCAAGATTGGGCCTACGGGGGACTACAACCAAAGGGAGAGGAGGCTGGCCCTGTATGACCACAAAAGGGTTAACATCGACCTCACGGCGCATGACCTGAACACTACCTGCTGCGAGTTGTGCTGTGAGCGGCCGTCTAGCGGCCGGATCGCCATTCCTAGCAATTGCTGCTTGAATACGCATCGCTGGCGTGTCGTACATGCTGGCCCCGAATACCTGCAGGGCGCCTCCCATGGGCCGCAAGTCAACAAGGGCAGGGGACATTCCGGCATTGCAGCGAAGTGCAGCGAACTGCACAGAGGGCAGACCGTCCAGCGGTGGCAGAATACGCGCAAAGTGGAGAGGGACACGGCGATCCCCAACTCCATCCTCAAGGAAGGCCTGCAACACTGCCGACCTTAAGGTGAGATGATCACAATATGAGGGTGAAGCAACATAGAACAGCCCGTCATCCGAAATGACTACAGCATTACTGCCAGAGGCCTCATGAAAGGAAGACTCAGCAACATGAGGCATTGTGAGGCTAAGCGCGAACCGATCGGCATTGGAAGGCGGCTGTGTCAGCGAATCCGAGTCGCTGAGCGGGGCTACCACATCAGGCCCAGGCCACACTTGAAAGGCGTCAACTTCGGGAAGAAGCAAAACCGAGGCGGTGGGGAGAAACAAGCCAATCCCAGTACGGATAAGCACGGGCCGGGAAATATCCTGGCCTAAATCCAAAAGGCAACCCCTGATAGCCTCGATGCAGGGCCGGTCACGCCGAACTTGGAGGAGGCGAATAGACCCTCCCATCGGCCTTAGGTCAATCGGCACTAGACACGTGTACCAGGCTAGACTCCGAGGAGACAAAACATAGCACTCAGGTGGTGTGGCCGGCAACCTTTCAATGAGGCGACGCATCTCCCATTCATGAGCCTGCATCCCCAGTGCAGAGGCCAGGTCACAATGTAGCACGGAACCTCTGGCCCTATCATCTGCTTGTAGGAGCATAGGCGTTTGAGAGCACTCGCTGCAATAAACCCCAACATCCCTAATTGGTTGGGCCGGGTGCGAAAGAGTAGCCTCGGTCAAAGGTGGTACCGAAAAGCGGACGGGTGCAAGGGACCTGACACTATCCTCAGCGGGTACTGCGCCTGTGGTGAAGATAGGCTGGCCTTGCCAACTGCCAGCTGGGAAGATCTGAACTGCTGAGCCTCCTGGGGTGAGGGTGAGCCAAATGAGGAAAAGACCTCGGATCGGCCTACTCCGGCTGTGGCATGACAAAGCCCGTCTAGAGGCACCAGGCAAAGTACGGGGGCTCGGCTGCGCCACAGAAAGTGTGCTCGGAGCGCTGTGTCTGGGGCCCCTCAGTCTCACACTGCGATACTGCAAGCATAGCGCTCCTACCCAAAGAACAGTATGCATGCCCCATCGGCGGACCGTTCGCCATTGAATGTTCTGTACAAGCAATAGCAGAAATCCCGCATATACAGAAACTGCAGTTACTATGTACAAGAATTTGTACAGAGATCGCTCTACAGTGCTCCATCCGCTGCTTGCAAAGGTGCGCTGTGGGGAAGATCCGGAGATCTCAGAAGAGGACGCATACTCTCGGCGAGTTGGGTGGGCAGTATACCTTGACAGGCCGTACCATGTTCCATCAGCAAGGACGGATAAAGCCATTCCTGTGCTGTAGCCGGCCCGTACTGCCGATAATCCAGGAGATTGCCAAGGGTCGCCTGAATCAAGACGACCACACCCTGTCGCACGCCTGCAAGGGCTCCCGGGCACAGACGTAGCTTCTGCAGGAGATCCTGACAGGAGGCCACAAGCTCGGCGGACATCTCCTCTGTTGCCGTGGCAGCGGCGTGAGGTAGAGCCACCCAAAACGCTTCCGCCTCCGCCTGCAGACTTGCCACATCTGCATCGGTCCCCAAATGTAAAGGCCAAATAGCGTCTTGTTCTGGGTCGGCGGTAAGTTCGTTGATGTGCTCGCCTCCGTTGGCACAACAGAACATAGCGGCTTGCTGCCATGCACCGAGCCAGGTCGTGGGTATGCTGACCGACGATGGGTCTGGCAGCAACTCGATGTCGTCGGCCACCTCTGTAAGGGACGGACGGTGCACCGCCTCCGGAGTTCTCCCGGTGGTCCCCCGCACCCACGGCGCAGATGCAGGTTCTGGGGACGCAAGGGCCCCAGACGGCCCAGATCCTATAGGCTCCTCTCTGCGAGGGCTCTTGCTCGGCCGATATGGAAGAGCCACATTGCCACGTTTCCACCGCCGATGTCTCAGGCCGGAATCCCCGATATCCATCCTCACTTCTGCATTCGAGGCAGGGCCCAGTATACCAGTCGGTGCGGGTACCACCACTGCTCCTGTCGTCCGCGGAGTGGTCAAAGTACCCATGGCTGTTGCCGGAGCCCCTGGCGTGCTCAAAAGAGCAACCGCCTCTCTGAGCGGCGTAGTACCAATCCCAGGAGGCCCCAAGACTGCACCGGGTGTTGATGAGGCTCCATCGCCGCTGCTCGAAGCTGAGCCAGGGACCACACTGAAAGCGCGGAGAGCCGAGGCAATCCGAACAATCTCGGAAGCCTGCGGGGCTGTCCACACTGGCCCGAGCTTCATACTCGCGGCCTGAATACGTTCCGCTGTCGTTGAAGACGGAAGGTCCACCAAAGTCGTCTCCATCTCTTGACATGCGGCCCGTAGGTCCTCGTCGATCTTGTCTCCCAGGGCTTTGACCCGTTGCACAAGGCCTACAAGGTGGAGGCCTATAGTACCTGCCCATTCTGCCAAAGCCGATGCGAGATCTTCTTTCGCCTTTGAGTTCCCCGCAATTCTCTTGGAGAGTTTGTAGGAGGCTGATGCCTGGCGCGAGTGTTGCTGTTCGATAGTAAGATCGGCAGCCACCGCGGCAGGTGAGGACCAAAGGTCCTGCGTAGAGCGTGCTGCAATAGCCTGCAAAGAGGCTACGACAGATTGTGGTAACCCGAAGTCGATGCGAGAAACTTGTGCAGCAGCAGCAGCGCCATCTTGCTTGCCGCGGCCTTTGCCTGCTTTGTCCTTCGGATTCGTCTTGGGCCCCATGTGACCGTGATGGCCGGCCAACCACCGGACCTCTAACACACTGGCCCGCCCAGCTTGGATCTTCCTGCGTACTTTGCTCCTGGCCTTCCGCTCCCTGCGGTGCCAGGGTGGGCTCGCTAATCTGCGGCCCTTCCTTGCCGTGGTGTAAGGCCCCACGCGGCCAAGTGGAGGCTGTGGCGGGGTGTTGCTCAGACCCCAACCAAATAAGCCAGATACCCAAGAGAAATAAAGGTAACAAAGGGCTCCAGGTAGCCCTTCGGCTCATAAGCCACGAGGATCAGCCTATTTAAAAGCAGTGAACCTCGGGGCCAGTAAAGCGCAGCCTCCAGCCGCGCTGGTGGGGAACTCGCTGTTCCCGATGCCTCCTACAGAAGGAAGACAAAAGAGCGCGTCCCTGTGGAACAGCGCAGTCGCTATGGCACGGATAGCGTGGGGTCTGGTAGACCGCGGAGGCAAGAAACCCCTAGAGGGGACAAAAGCCTGACGCGGCTCGAGCCGAGACGCCTCTACGCCCTAATCCCTAATCCCGAAACCCTATAAGCCCTGAGCCCTAAGCCCTAAACCTTGGAGGAGCTGGCGCAGCACCGCGCCGAAGGCGATGTCTGGGTGTCCTTATATGGGAAGATCTACGACCTCACGGAGCCCCTCTGGCCTGTGAGTGTTTTGGGAGCTCTAGGATGTAGGGTTTAGGCTTTAGGGTGTAGGGCTTAGGCTTTAGGATGCAGGCTCAGGGGCTTTAGGGTTTAGGATTCAGGGTTTAGGGTTTAGGGTTTAGGGGTTTAGGGTTTCGGGTTTAGGGGTTTGGGGTTTAGGGTTTAGGGTTTAGGATTTATGGCTGTAGGGTTTAGGGCCAGGGCTGCAAGGGTTTTGGGAGCTTTAGGTATACGGGTGCTACAAGGCTCTATTGGGGTTCTTTAAGAGTTCAAAAGACTTGTAGCAGGGTTCTTTTCGGTTTCCATAGAAGTTTTATGTGGGTTCAGGAATCTTACGCAAAGCTGTCTTAAGTCCCCCTCTTAGGAGTTTCAGAGCATATCAAACCAGAATATGAACTTTCACGAGAAGTATAATCATCACAAGGACCCCTACATGACGCAGTCAGTTTTTGAGAATCACTTGTTTGGCATATTTCGCGCAATTGTGTCCGTTCAGCCGCCCTTAGAGGAGGGCACCAGTTGTTTTGATGTGGCTTCCTGCTATCCCGGCTTGAAGCCACAAACCCTAAAACTTAATCCTTAGACCCAAACCCCAAATCCAACATCTCAAACCCTAGGTTCTAAATTGTACAAACCCTAAAGACAAGTGAACGAACAGCTCCAGCAAGCTGCCAGACTTTGGAAGAAGTGAAGCCTTAAGACAGCCTGAGCAGTCTTTGCCAAGGAGATCGGCCAAGGTTTATGAGTCCTGTTCTGAGTACCTGCTGTGATAACAATCAAACCCCAATCCGCGGCTCTTCCCAGGTGGGAGTTTCCGTATTTTGGGGTCCTTGTTGGAAGGATCCCACTATTCAGGGTACTACATTAGGGTCCCCTGTTTTCGGAATCTCCCAGGTATGTCTGGGAACATCCAGGCGCGACCATCGACTCAAGACTTGATGGGAGAATTGTGGGGCGCCAGCTATTTGAGGGTCGGGCTTTAGATGGCCTTCGGGTTCGGTTGGGGGTTCGGGGTTTTGGGCCTTATATAGGGTTTAGGGTTTCGCATTTGGGCTCTTGGGGGTTATGCTTGGGGGTTTAGGGTTTAAGGCTTTCATGTGCTTGATAGTTGGTTCTTCAGCCTACATGAGGTCCATTGTAACCGCTGGCGCTTTTGCGCGGTTACATAGTGTGTGGACAGGTCCCTGACTGATGGGTTGCTCGGACACATGTAATCCGTTGACTACTTTTCCAATCTAATCTCGCAGCGCCAGTTGGGTTTCAAGGGCTTGTAGCTTTAGGATCTAGGTTTTGTGGAGTTCCCGGCTCACTTTTCAAGAAGGGTTTCGACGACTGGAACATGATTCAGCAGGAAGATTCAGTAACGAGAGTTGGGCCATGCCCCGGGCCTCCCTAAAGGTTGTTCGGGCTGACTTTGTTTGTGCACGACTACCTCGCACCTCGTGGAGGCTGCACACGTGTGACGTGAACATTGGAGCCATCGTCGGCTCTTTGTTAGGGAAATCTGGTGGTGGAAATGGTGGAAGCAATGAAAGGTGAGCTGACGTGTGTTTCTTTTTTCTCTTGCATGCCTGATGGTGTGCAACAGACCGCTAAGAGCAGCTGCATGACTCAAGCTTCGGGGCGATTTCGATGCACAACGCTGCTCTCGCTGAGCCCTTCTCGTCAGCCCTTCAGTGTCTGATTCACACTGGTGCTGCAAGCTCACAAACAGCCAGCGCTCAATGGCAGCGCGAAGCCCCGTGCCAATCCAGCCTGAGCTTGACCAGAAGCTGGAGTGCAAACACTGCAGGCATTCGCAGAGCTTTTGAAAACAGCGTCCGCTAGAATGAATCGAGGGAAGTTTGCGCAAGTTCCAGATGCCCGGTAAGCCTTAAAGCTCCGAAAAAGTGCCAGGCCCGAAAGCCACCGTGCGCCTTAAACCCTAAACTAAACCCTAAACTGCTACACCCCGAGGCCCAGAACCCCTCAAATGCCCTAAGCCCTACCAAAAACACTCTTGAACCCTAAACCCCTAAACCCCTAAACCATAAACCCCTAAACCCCAGAACCTTAAAACCCTAAAAACCCTAAACCCTGAACCCTAAACCCTACTCCCTAGAAGCAGGCGGCTCACAAGCCATCTTCGATGTCGGCGGACAGGACTCTCACGATTGGAGCGCTCCCAAGGGGCTCCTCCCCGTACTATTCTGAAAACTAATAGGGTTTAGGGTTTTCGGATTTAGGGTTTAGGGTTTTCGGATTTAGAGTTTAGGGTTTAGGGTTTTCGGATTTAGGGTTTAGGGTTTTCGGATTTAGGGTTTAGGGTTTTAGGATTTGGGGTTTAGGGTTTAGGGTTTTAGGGGTTAGGGGTTTAGGTTTTTTTGGGGGTTTGGGGCTGAGAGATATATCAAGCACAAAGTGCAGGGGCATGCTTAAGATCGTTTCGAGAAGCTGTACAAGAAGCAGGGTTCACATTAGGGGTCGGTTTGAGTGAGTGTATACTCTGAGTGTATGGCATATGGTTGGTGAACTTCTATTTCGTGTGCTACTGTTGGGAAGCTATTGATGAACATATTGTTGGGAACCTAATGATGAAAACGCCACCTCACAACGAAGCACTATTTCCCAACAAGGCGTGATATGGCAGATAGCCTGCCCCGGAATTCAGCCCGGCACCCAAGACCACGTTACAGCGCCGCTTCAGCGCTTGAATCCTTAATGTGATAATTTAACACATCGAGAATTAGAGGTTTGCGTTTTGGGATTTCCACCGTATCTCAGATCATGCCTGTTACTTTAGGGTCTTTCACCAGAGATCCCTTCGTAAATCCGAACGATAGTGATCCGGATGGTGGAGTTCTTGCCTTAGAGGGGTATTCGGGTCGAGAGAATTTTGCTTAGGGTTCACGGCGTTCAGTCTGTAAATATCTGATCTTTGAGCATTGCACATCGAAGAGAACCCTGCCCAGCACCCCAAGACCGACAAATTGAATGCAAACCCTAAACCCTAAACCCTACACTCTAAACTCTAAACCCTAGATCCTAAACCCTGGAATAGAATCCGCAATCACCAGGTTCTGGGGCTCAGGGTTTGGGGTTGTGGGAGGTTGCTAACGTTGAAGGCTTCAGAAGGGGTCCACAAAGGTTGCGTCAGCTTGTACGGGGGTGTTTCAAGCTGTTTCAGCTTTTGCGGCTTAATACAAGGGCCTGAAATTTTAGAATATGGTTTTGGGGTACAGTATACTGTAAATATAAGGGAACCCCAAAATAGTATTGGCAATTATTTAGGCCCGTACAGTAGTTAGGGTTCAACCTTCAAGGCTGTTAATCAAGACCGTGTTGTGGACAGGACGGGACCGAGACCTTCGAAGCCGTCCACAACAAGGACCCAGCCATTCCGCAGCTCCCCGAATCCCTTAAAACCCTTGCAGAGCTGCAAAGCTCGACCCTAAACCCTGAACCCCTAAACACCCTTCAGCCCCTAGGACCCTAAGCCCCACACTAAAAACCCTAGCACCTAATCCGGATTCACCTTCAGCTCCTGAATCCTTAAACCCCCGTTCCCTTACACGAATCCTTACATGAACGCAGCAGCCCCTGAACCCTTAAACCGTATCCATAATCCGAACCAGCCCCTAACAAACCCACCTAGGTAAGGGAAACCTAAACCCTTAAAGCCCCTGAAGTCCTGAAGAGCCCCCAAAAAAGTAAGCTGGCGGTTAACGTTTCAGTGCTTCCGCTTTGGAAGTCCCGAGTGCCATGCCATGAAGCTTCCGGGCTCGTTGTACGGGTTTCAGACAATCTGCTATATCCGATTGTAGTATACTATATCATATTATACTGCTATGTTCCATGATATTCTATTGTATTATATTAAAGTTTAGTATATCAAAGTTTATGATAACTCTGCGGTTTCATTAGTAAGAGTAGTCTCAGGGTTTGGAAGAGATCGAGTTCTGTAAGCTTTAACGTCTTTTTCTGAAGGTTTCATGTGTGGTGCAAGGTTTCGGTCTGCAGGTGTTGAGGACTTTAGGGTTTATGTTAGAAGCTGCCCCCACCCTGTAATAGTGACTATAAGGATTATATTAGGGCCCTATTTTATTCCTTTTATACCACTATTACAGGGTGGGGGCCCCTTCTAGGGTTTATGGCTTTTCCTTTGCAGCCTAAAATGGGAAGTAACATCCAAGAGCACCAGAGCCCAACCTTAACCCCAAAGAGCTTCCAACCTGCAGAAATTAAAGCAAACACAGCAATCGTTTAGGATTTAGGGTTTAGGGAGTTTAGGGCTTAGGATAATGGTTTAGTTAGTCTGTCTGGTTCTTAGCAGGGAACGGATTATGGAGACTGTTGTTGGGGAGTATG